GTTGGGTATAGTGGCTCATACTTGCAACCCTTGAATTTGGGAGGGCAAAGCAGGAGAATTACCATGAGTTCAAGGCCACCCAGAGCTGTATAGTGAGTTTCAGGTCAGGTTGGGCTACCAAGAGAGACCTTACTTCAGTAATAATAATAATGATAATAATAATAGATAATAATGATGATGATGATGATGATGATGATAATAATAATAGTAATCCACCTCTCCTCCTAAGATTCGGGGATCCTTATGGAAAAGGGGCTGGAAAGGGTATAAGAGCTAAAGGCAGTGGGTAGTGGATAACTATAAGGAAACAGTGTCTTTTGGACAGAGCAGGGAAGCTGCACATTTGACAACATGCACAAAACCTGTGCAAACCCAAGTCAGACTAGACCATAGCGTGGAGATGGGAGGTGGGCATGAACCCACCCCGGCCATGGAGCCATTGGCAATTGCTAGCTTCTGGAAAAGGGAGACGGTTTTTTTCTTAAGAGTGCCCCTGGTAAGTCAACCACACATCTGAGAATATTTGGGCAGCACAAATTGATCTTGATGGGTTAAAAAAGAGACACAAAGTTGGGCTGGTAGGGAATCAGAGAGAGATGGTCTGGGAAGAGTTGGGGAAGGAGCTGAATATGATCAAAACATGTTGTTTGAAACTCTCTCAAAGAACTAAAAAATTAAAAGCAAATTCTGACGTTCTGACAATAGTGGAAACTTTGTGAGAGGGTGTAATTGTACTGCATCTAAGGTAACGGGTCTATAGACAAAGTTACGAAGGCTTGCTGTCAAGATTTGCCTTGTTATTTCTAGCAACAAGTACTTAATCAAGTGACTTCTGAGAACTTCTGGTGTGTGTTTGTGCTGTGCCTGTGGGTCTAAAGGTTTTTTTTAGGGCAGTTCCTTTCCTCAGGAGCTTCCAGTCCACTGAAAGGGCTACCAGCTTAATGACTAGGTGTGGTGGCACACACCTTTAGTCCTAACATTCCAGAGGTGGAGACAGGCAGATAGATCTCTGTGAATTTGCGGCCAGCCTGGTCTACAAAAATGAGTTCAGGACAGACAGGGCTACATAGTGAGACCTTGTCTCCCTACAGAAACAACAATAGCAACAACAAAGCCAAATATACCTGTTAGCATGTAGCTGCAAGATTTCCTGTGTCCCACCTGGCCCACGATCAAGACAAATCTCTCACCCACAGTTCCAAAGCCTTTTATAAAACAATCACTCAGAAGCTTATATTAATAACTACTTGCCATTAGCTTAGGCTTATTACTGACCAGCTCTTTCACTTAAATTTTTCTTTCTTTCTTTCTTTCTTTCTTTCTTTCTTTCTTTCTTTCTTTCTTTCTTTCTTTCTTTCTTTCTTTCTTTCTTTCTTTCTTTCTCTCTCTCTCTCTCTCTCTCTCTCTCTCTCTCTTTCTTTCTTTCTTTCTTTTTTTCTTTTTGGAGCTGAGGACCGAACCCACGGCCTTGCGCTTGCTAGGCAAGTGTTCTACCACTGAGCTAAATCCCCAATCCCTCTTACACTTAAATTAATCCATAATTTTTATCTATGTTTAGCCATGTGGCTTGTTACCTTTTCTCAGTTCTACCTTGACATCTTGCTTCCTCTGTGTCTGGCTGATGACTCCTGACTCAGCCTTCCTCTTCCCAGCATTTTCCTTTTCTCCTGGCCCCGCTTATACTTCCTGGCGACTGCCAGGTCATCATGCTTGATGGCAAGTACTCTTACTTGATGAGCCATCTTGCTGGTCTAATTGATTCACCTTTTATTTTGTATTCATGAAGGATAAGAGTATTGCAAATTGCTTTGAAAGTACAGAATTATGCCATTATTTGTATTCCTTGATCAGTAAGAAATAACTTGGTATCTGGGAGTGGTGGTGCATACCTCTAATCTCAGCACTTGAGAGGCAGAGGCAGGTGAATCTCTGAGTTCAAGGCCAGCCTGGTCTACAGAGCCAGTTCCAGGACAGTGAGAACTGTTGCACAGAGAAACCTTGTCTTGGGCTGGTGGGGACTTGGCTTTAAGGGTGTGGCCCCTGGCAGGCCGGCCAGACTCCAGTGTATGGACAGCACAGATTGGATTTTATATATGTGTGTGTGTGTGTGTGTGTGTGTGTGTGTGTGTGTATACACACACACATATATATGTGTGTATGCATACATACATATGTATGTGTGTATGTATATGTATATGTATATATACACATACACACGCATGCACGCACTCACATGAAGAAAAAGGACATAAAGTTGAGAAGGGATGGGGAAGTAGGGGGTAGAGGGGGGAAGGGTGGTAGTGAATATGATCAATATGATTGTGTATGGAATTTTCAAAGAATAAGATACTCTATTTTTAACTAAAAAAAACTTGTAAAAATAAATAAAATAATAATAAAAGAAAATCTGATTGTTATCTTTTTTTCCTTTTAGTGGTGGGATCAACAAGTTGATTTTTATACTGCTTTCTTACATCATTTGGCACAATTAGTGCCAGAAATTTATTTTGCTGAGATGGACCCAGATTTGGAAAAGCAAGAAGAGAATGTACAAATGTCAATATTCACTCCATTGGAATGGTACTTATTTGGAGAGGATCCGGATATTTGTTTAGAGAAGTTGAAGCACAGTGGAGCATTTCAGTTGTGTGGGAAGGTTTTCAAAAGTGGAGAAACAACGTATTCTTGTAGGTAAGCCTCGGACATTTATAGGATGGGTTACAGTTTACGGGTTAAAGTTCGCATCGTGCCTGTCTCACGATGTCTTTTTCCTGGTTTGTCACTGTCAATAGTGTATTTAATCTGAAGTTCCTTTTAGCTTATGCTTCAAGTCCACTTTTGCCCATAGAGTTTGATTTTTAATATATGATTTTAATATATATGATTTTTTAAATATATGATTTCTTATTAAACAGTTCTCTCACTCTTTTTTGTGTTCTTCAAAAGTATCCAAGAGCCGGGCAGTGGTGGCGCACACCTTTAATCCCAGCATTCAGGAGGCAGAGGCAGGCGGACCTCTGTGAGTTTGAGGCCAACCTGGTCTACAAAGTGAGTTCCAGGAAAGGCTCCAAAGCTACACAAAGAAGCCCTGTCTCGAAAAAAACAAAACAAAACAACAAAAAAAGAACTGTCAGTCAAGGGTTGTGTGAGAACAGCTGGAATATAGTTGAATGTCAGAGGTCAGTTGTATGGAAATTGGAGGCAGGTGTAGGCCTTTTTTTGTTTTTTTTAAAGATTTATTTATTATGTATACAGTGAGTGTTCTGTCTGCAGGCCAGAAGAGGGAGCCAGATCTCATTGTAGATAGTTGTGAGCCACCATGTGGTTGCTGGGAATTGAACTCAGGACCTCTGGAAGAACAGGCAGTGCTCTTATCCTCTGAGCCATCTCTCCAGCCCCAGGCCTTTTGTTTTAAATAAAGGAATTGTCTTAAATGTCATTATAGTTCAGGGAAGTTTTTACATTCCTGCCTGAAATTTTGTTTCAGTTTTTTTTTTTTTTTAATGCTTTTAATTTTTATTTGTTTATTGAGATAGGATCATACTATGTAGCCTTATCTGGCCAAGAACTCCCTGTATAGACCAGGATGGCCTCAAACTCATAGAGATCCACTTGGGACTTAAAGGTTTTTGACTTAGATATTAGCACTTCTTTTTGTTTTCCTTTTTTGCTCGAGGCCATTAGGTCTAACTGTGCCTTTTTAGACATGGACTCAGCAGAGATTGATTGCTTACGCCTGGCTCGTTCTAGGCTTCACTGAGTGTGTATAGTTAATAGTTTTTGTTTTCTGTATCCTACAGTGTTTTTTTATCTTATTTCATTGTGTGTGTTTGCTGCATGTATGTCTGTATACCATGTGTGCCTGGTACCGCAGAGTTCAGAAAAAGGGGACCTCTGGAACTGGAGTTACAGGGAGTTGTGAGCTGCCATATGGGCACTCAGAATCCAGGTCCTCTGGCAGAGCAGCCAGTGCTTTTAACCGCTGAACCATCACTTCAGCCCTTAGTTAACAGTTCAAAAACAACTTCTTTATCCTGGTACTTTCTCAGGGGGGAAAAACAGCTCTTGCATTTGTTTTCTATTTTGCTGCTTTGTGTAGCAATTTATTTATTCCCTTATAAATTTTATTTTTAAAAAATTTATGTTTTTTCCCTTATAAATTTTAAGCCAAAGCAGTTTCAACTAAAACATGTAAACATTTGTAGCACTCATCTTTCCAAAATTTCTTGGAAACATTGTGACAGATAGAGGTTAGTGCGTAGAAACCATGATTGCTGTTAAACATCCCACAGTGTACAGGATAGTTCCTTCTACCCCAATAAAATAATTACTAGTTAATTCAAAAGTGTCAGTAGTGTTAAGGGAGATGATTATAGAGATCTACAACTTGTCAAAATGAATAGGTAACTGGGGCATCCAGCTCGATACATCTATAGTTCAACCCTTATACCTACAGAACAGTCTAGAAAAGGTGGAGGTGGGGGCAGGGAGAGTTTAAGAGTCAGAAGACCAGGGCACATGCTACTAGATGGTGCCTTCTAACCCTGACAGGGAAGCTGAACCCATGGAATCTTAGCAGTACCATTTCCTAAATAAGATCTGCATAATGACAGCACCAGTTGACATGCCAGCATGGACCGGGAGATTTCACAAGGTCTTACCCTAGATCAAGAGCTGCTGGCTATCAGGGACTGCTGAGAGAGAGTCTGTCTTCTCTAGGGACAAGCTCTCTGGTAGGTTATCCAATCACAGCAGTCAGCCCTAAACACATACACATATGAGCAACACTAAATGGACTCGTAGGGTGCATGTGTGTCAGTAATAAAGAAGAGGTCATGAATTTGAGAGGGGGTGGAGGACACAGAACAAGTTACAGGGAGAAGAGGGAGGCATGGAGATTATGTAAAATACAGTGCTCATATGGAATTCTCAAAAATAAAATTCAAATTAGAAACTAAACAGATTAGATCATATATTTTTACAGAGAAGTTTGAGAGTTTTGGACAACCTTTAAACCTGCCAGCTATTTAAAATTCACCCTCTTTCCCTCCCCTTTCTCTTCCTCCAGTTCTAGAATTCCTTTTGTGTGTGTATTGTTGAGACAGGATCTTAGTATGTAGCCCAAGCTAGCCTTAAACTCACTCTGTAGCTCAGGCTGTCTTTCAGCTCTTAGCAGGTTCTCCTGCCTTCACCTCAAGAGTGCAGAAAGTACAGGTGTGAGCCGCCATCCAACTCTAAAATTTACTTCTTAACTTTCTAACTTTGTCTCTTCACATATTTAAAAGATTTAATTCTGTACCTTTTAGTAATTCATGTTCTCATGTTTTTCTGAAAATATGAAATAGAATCGTGTACTGTGAAAATTTGTAAGGAGAGAGCAAAGAGAGATTGGGTTTGTTTCTCTTGTTGACTCAATGATTACTTCGTATGTGTCAGGTACTGTTTGGGTGTTTGGGATCCATCAATATGTAAAAGAAAGATCTTTCTCCCAATGAGTTTTCGTCTACATTGAAACCTCAGTTACAATGCACAGTGTTTATAAAATGTGGCAGTTTTCTTCATGGAAGATAATGAAGAAAAACATTGTTTTCATGCAATTTTATATAATTTTATGCATAATTAACAGTTCAAAGCCAGGTAACACTTAAAATTGTAAACTGAAAATCCTGTGCACTCAAATGTGTTAGAAATGAGGCTGAAATTATGGCAACAGTACTGTCTTTTTTTCAAAGTGTTCTTTTTTATTGTTTTGTTTTGTTTCTCAAGACAGGGTTTCTCGGTGTAGCCCTGGCTGTCCTGGAACTTGCTCTGTAGACCAGGCTGGCCTCGAACTCACAGAGATCTGCCTGCCTCTGTCTCCCAAGTGCTAGGTCAAAGTGTTCTTAGAACTCAGCTTTTGGGGCATTTTTGTGTTTATTTTGTTAATACACAGGAAACTCACTCATTTTATAGTCATACCTTAAGTGTCAGTGCAAGTTGGTTTTTGGAATCTAATTCTTTATCTTTTTCAGGGATTGTGCAATTGATCCGACATGTGTTCTCTGTATGGACTGCTTCCAGAGTAGTGTTCATAAAAACCATCGTTACAAGGTATGAAAAAAAAATAAAATCACCTACATAGTAGGAATCTGATGACCATCTAGTTCAAATTTTTGAGCACTGTTTCATTTCCTGCTAAATAGTTCTGATGTGGAGTTAAATCTGTCCAGTGATAAGACATCTGTTACCTCTAGAAGTATCTTCTTGTAGCATTTTGTGGTGACATTAATGAGACAGTATAACATATGAAAATCACTTAAAGAATAAATAAAAACTTCCAGGTGGTGGTCACTCACACCTTTAATCCCAGCACAGGAGGCAGAGGCAGGTGGGTCTCTGAGTTTGAGGCCAGCCTGGTCTACAGAGCAAGTTCCAGGACAGCCAGGGCTACACAGAGAAACTTAGTCTTGAAAACCAAAAAAAATAAAATAAAATTTATAAAATCCCCAAACCTATGTAACTACTGCCAAGTCAAGGAATGGGACAAGGCAGTTCCTTCTGATCTCAGTCACTTTATCCTCCCTTGAGAAGACTCTTTACCCTGTAAATGGTGTCCTTGATTTTTTTCCCTTTCAGCTTATGCCCTCAAATCATAGTGAAAAGTTTTATCTGTTTTGAACTTTATATAGTTGGATTTATATGGTAGGTACATAGTTCTTGCTGAATAACCTTACATATGTAACTGTAGTTTGTTTGTTGGTCTTTAATAAATTATATTGTCTTTATTCACAGTACTGCATGTGGATATGCAGATTGCTCCAACTTGGTACTATTAATAATTCTGTTGTGAACATGTTTAGTATACATATAAGATTTCTCTAGGTTGTGTATCTATAAAGAATTACTGACTTCTAAGACACATAGATCTTTAGTCCCACTTAGATAACATATGAAGTGATTATACCAATTATAGATGCTTTTTTTTTTTTTTTTAAAGATTTATTTATTACATATAGTGTTCTGCCTGCATGTATCCCTGCAGGCCAGATGAGGGCACCAGATCTGATTACAGATGGTAGTGAGCCACCATGTGGTTGCCGGGAATTGAACTCAGGACCTCTGGAAGAGCAGTCAGTGCTCTTAACCCCTGAGCCATCTCTCCAGCCCAGATTCTTAAACTGTATATGTGAGTTCAGTTTCCCACATCCTTGGACGATGGGCCCTGTAAGTTTTTGTAAAGTTAGTGATCTCAGGAACTTCCTGAGTGCAGTAGGCATCAGAGCAGTCTCAGAATTTAGTTTTGTGGTGCTCTCCTAATTAATGATGGGGTTTAGGTTTTGCCTTATATGACATGCTTCAAGTACTTGGAAAACATAACATTTTGAAGATATATCATCCATATCTTTTGTAAACTTGAAAGTTCTAGGCCAGCCTGGGTTACATAGAAAGACAGGCTTCTGAATAACCACAACAACAACAAAAGTCTACAAGCTTAAAGAAAATGTTCTTCAAAAGAGAGTACATGGAAAATGAAACATTTTTAAAGTTGCTCACACAGGGAGCTTTAATGGTTTTGAAATTCCCTCAGTCTAGACTCCAAGTTAGTAGTGTTTGTTTCATTGTCAAACTTTGTATATTACCTGTACCTTATGTAGATTCTTTTGACGAGAAGTACTTTATAAAAGAAAGAAACTAGGCTGAGCGGTGGTGGCCTTTAATCCCAGCACTCGGCAGGCAGAGGCAGGTGCATCTCTGAGTTGGAGGCCAGCCTGGTCTACAGAGTGAGTTCTAGGAGAGCAAGGACCACATAGAGAAACCCTATCTCCAAAACAAAACAATAAAAAAACAACCCCCCCCCCAAACAAACAATGGGGAGGAACATGAAGGTATATCTAAGTGCAAAAGCAGACTCGTCTCATCTCCAGATGGGGGGACAAAAAGGCATCTGTAGCTTTTGTTTATATTTTTTTGCATTATTCAAAGTTTTTCTACAAAATTTTCAGTATATTGCTTAGGTAAATAGATAATTTTGTTTGGGTTTGGCTTTTTGTTTGCTGGGGGTTACAGGAGGTAGGCAAGCACTGTGTCATGGCGCTAGATCCCCAGTCCTCATTTGCTGACCTTGGCAGTGCCGGAGGTTGCATCCAGTGTGCTCTGTACACACATGCCAGGCAGGAGCTCTGTGGTGCAGCTATACCCCAATCTAATAGATACGTTTTTTGAGGTGAAGGTAATTGAACTTAGACTTCATATGTGCTAGGCAAGTGCTCTATCACTGAGCTATATTCCCAGCTCTAATAATTTCCTAATGCTATATTTGTGTGTATGTTTTGTGTGTTTCTGAGATAGCCTGGCACTCTGTAGTCCTGGCTAGCCTAGAACTAATTTTTGAGCACAGACTGTCCTTGAACTCACTATTTTTTGGTTTTTTTTTGAGACAGGGTTTCTCTGTGTAGCTTTGCGCCTTTCCTGGAACTCACTTTGTAGACCAAGCTGGCCTCAAACTCACAGAGATTTGCCTGCCTCTGCCTCCCGAGTGCTGGGATTAAAGGCGTGCGCCACCTTTAGCGCACTAAAGGCGAACTCACTATTTAGTACGTGTTGGCCTTGGGCTGGCAGTAATCCTATTTCACACTCCCAGATTTGGAGATTTCAGACATGCACTCTGAATGCTGTTTTATTTGAAAGACAATGTGCAGTATATATACTCATTATGCAGAACAGAATTCTAGAATATATAAAGCAGGCTGATACTAAAACATACTGTATTAGCTATTTTGCCTTTGTTTTTGTTTTATAGACAGGGTTTCACTATGTAGCCCAGGCTGGTCTTTTTTTCTTTTAGTAATTTATTTATTTTTATTTTATTTGCATTGGTGTTTTGCCTGCATGAATATTTGTGTGAGGGTGTCCCCTAGAACTTAAGTAAGCTGCCATGTGGGTGCTGGGAATTGAACCCGGGTTCTTTGGAAGAGCAATCAGTGTTCTTAACTGCTGAGCCATCTCTCCAGCTACCTACCCCCACTCCCTCCATGCTGGTCTTGAACTCAGAGATCTACTTGCCTCTGTCTCTCAAGTGCTAGGATTAGAGTGTATGCTACCATACCTGACATTAATAGCTATTTTTATAATTAAATCTTAGCTGCCAGCTTTGTTTGTTCTTTGGTCCTTTTGATCTTAACACCTCAATTCATTTTTAACAAATGCTATTAAAAGTTTCTGTATCCTAAATACTATGAGAGACATAGAAGGTACAAAATACATAAGGTCTGAACTCCATCCACCAAAGGTTTGTAGTCTAGTGGGGATACAGGACACCCAAATTAGATAGAGATATGGTTAGGAAAGGGACAGAGAAAAGGAGATTACGGGTGAATTTGTTTTCATCTCTGGGTATGTTCTAATTGGTTTTGAGATGTATTCAGTAAAAGACTATCAACTCAAGCAGGTCTCATTCTTGGTGTCAGCTTCTAAGATACCAGAAGACTCTTTTTTTTTTTTTTCCTTCCGAGACAGGGTTTCTCTGTGTAGTTTTGGTGCCTGTTCTGGATCTTGCTCTGTAGACCAGGCTGGCCCCGAACTCACAGAGATCCTCCTGCCTCTGCCTCCTGAGTGCTGGGATTAAAGGCGTGAGCCACAACCACCCGGTTAGAAGACTCTTAAACGAGAATGTGGCCACAACTTTCATTCTGTTTGGTCAAGTATTATGCTGAACTTTGACTCTTAGAATTTAATTTATCAAATCAAATAAGTTGACCACCTCTGAAAGGACAATAGCAAAGTGAGTAGCAGAAGATATTCTGTAAAACAAGGTTCAAATTTTGTTTCTTTATTGTTCTCAAATACTGTCTTAGACTCTCTTGCCACTGAATATTTTCCTTGGTCCTCTGTTCTTGTATTTTTCATGTTTAGTACTGCTTTAGATCAGCGGTTCTCAACTTGTGGGTTGTAACCCCTTTTGAGGGTAGCCTAAGGCTGCCAGAAAACAGATATTTACATTACAATTCATAATAGCAAAATTACAATTATGAAGTAGCAATGAAAATAATTTTATGGTTGGGAGTCACCATAACATGAGGAACTGTATGTGTTAAAGGGTCGCATTAGAAAGTTTGAGAACCACTGCTTTAGACAAACATAATATATGATGCTGAGAATAGAACCAGGGCCTTGGCATGTATTCCATCACTGAACTATATTCCAATCTCCCTCTGTTTTTTTTTTTTGTTGTTGTTGTTTTGAGACAGGGTTTCTCCATGAAACAGTCCTGGCTGTCCTGGAACTCACTCTGTAGACCAGGGTGGCCTTGAACTCACAAAGATCCGCCTGCCTCTGTTCCCCCTCACCCCAGTGCTGGAATTAAAGGTGTGTGCTGCCGCCGCTGCAGCCCAGCCCCTTCTGTATTTTTATGACAATTTTTATACTGTAGCCCAGGATACTCTGTAATTGACTATGTACTCAGACTGATCTTGAACTTATGGCAGTCCTGTTTCAGTTTCCCAGGTACTAGAATTACAGGTGTAAACCACCTCTCTCAGTTTCCTACATTTTTATTTTCTTAAAAATTTTTAGATTTATTTTACTAAATTACTTGTATGTATGTATTCATGTGCATACCATTGCGTACATGTGGAGATCAGAGGTCAGCTTGTGGGAATTAGTTCTATTGTCCCACCATGTGGGTTCTAGAAATCAAACTCAGTCACCAGGCTTGGCAGCAAGCTTGGCTCACCTTTGCTTTGTGAGCCATCTCATCAGCCCACGCCTTTGTTTTCATAAAAAGAAGTATATATACTAAATTAATATTAAATATATTAAAGCATGCTTGAGACTTGATATATAGAGGTAGATTGAGATGGAAGGATCTGTGCTTTTAATTTTGAAAGATTTGCCCCTCAATTTCTGTTACTGTTATAAAATGCATATAGAACTTACTATCTGAGGGCTGGAGAGATGGCTCAGCCGTTAAAGGCTAGGCTCACAACCAAAAATATAAGAGTTCGGTTCCCAGCAGCCACCAAAAACAAAACAAAACAAAACAAAAAAAAAAAACCTTACTATCTGAACCATTTTTAAGTGTGTGTGCAACTTGGTGGCATTACGTATTTTAAACTCATACTGTGTGCCCGTTACGTCCATCTCCATAATTAACTTTGTAAAACACAGACACATTAAACAGTGGCTTCCCATTCCTTGCTTTCCCCCTGGTAGCCATTATCCTACTTTCTGTCTCTGTGAATGTGACTTCTGTAAGTACCTCATATTACTGAAATCAGGCAGTGTTTGTCTTTTGTAACTGGCTTGACTTAGTATAATACTCTCAGGGTTCAAACATAGCATATATCAGAATTTCTTTCCTTTTTAAGTTTGGATAATATTCTACTATGAAGTACATTTTGATTATCTGTATATCTATTGATAAAATCAGATTGTTTGCACAAAATTTTGATAGATTTAGGTCAGGTCTTTTTATTGTGTTGCTGTGCCAATTTATACACTCATTAAAAGGATATGGGTCAAGGCTGGAGCTATTGCTCAGTGTTAAGAGCACTGGCTGCTCTTACAGGAGGGTCCAGGTTTATTTCCCAACGCCTGGAAGCTCACAACCATCTGTAACTCCAGTCCCAGGGGATCTGATGCCATCTTCTGACCTCCTCAGGCACACAGACATACATGTAGGACAAACACCCTCACACATGAAATAATAAATCTAAAAAGAAATTAAAACGAAAGTATCAGAGCTGGGCATGGTGGCACATATCTGTAATTCTAGCACCAGGGAGGCTGAGGCAGGATTAAGAACTCAAGGCCTCACTGGACTATATAGAAAATCCTGTCTCAAAACAACAAAAGAGATGTGGAAATATTCTTACAACTATCTCCAAATTTTATTTAATTAGTCTTTTAATTTATTATCAATCATTAGATAATTTCATTATTCTAATTTGCCTTTCTAGAAACATTTTTTTTTAGTAGTTTAATTGTGCAGGTGTTTTTTTCATTATTGTCATTGCTTTCTTTTTTTTTGGTTGTGGGGTTTGAACCCTGTGCTTTGTGGATATTAGGTCAGTACTTTGACATTTGAGTTACTTCCTTAGCCCTTGTTTCTTTTATGTATTATTTATGTCTATCCTTTTTCATTTTCTTTTATCTTTCCTATTGCTGTGTTATATATTTTAGAAACATTTTTTGAATATTTTAATTATTTTATTTTTGAGACTGAGTCTCACTATGTAACATTGGATGGCTTGGAACTCTCTTTGTAGACCAGAGCGACCTTGAACTCAAAGAGATCTGCCTGCCTCTGTCTCCCTGAGTGCTGGAATTAAAAACAAGCATCACCACGCCTTAATTTTTTTTTCAAGTGTCTAGTCAGGCTTATTGATATGTATATTATATAAACTAACATCTACCCTTTTAAGTGTCCTGTTTTGTGAAATGGTAAACATACATTTGTGTGATTACATTAGTAATACTTGCTAGTAGTAAGCTAGAAATGTACATAGAAAAAGTTGTGTGGTGCCCTAGCTCCTGGCATTTACTGATCTGCTTTCTTTGCCTTTCAGAATCTTATATAAGTAAAATCATGTAGTGTGTAGTCTTTCTTTCTGGCTTCTTTCATGTGCATAATTGAAATTAAGGATCAGCAGTTAGTAGTGTGCCATTGTATTCATGTGCTGGTTCATTTATTCAGTCACTAGTTGGTGGGCACTTGGAATGTTTCCAGTTTTTTATTTTATGTGTGTGAGTGTGTTGACTGCGTGTATACACATACACTGTCTGCATGTCTGGTGTTTTTGGGGGCCAGAAGCGGACGCTAGAACTAGAGTTATTGATGGGTGTGAGCTGCCATGTGGGTGCTGGGATTTGAACCCCATTCCTGCAGGAGCAGCTAAGTGCTGTTAACTGTTGAGTGGTTTCTTTAGCTCCTGCTTCCAGCTTTTGAATAAAGCTGCTTTGATATTATTATGTATCATTTATTTTATTATTGAAGTACAAGTCTTTACATAGATAAAGGTTTTCATTGCTCACTGGTAAGAAGAGTAGGATTCTGGATCGTAACGGATGGCTAAAGATTTTGCTGTCTTTTTTGTTTGTTTGTTTGTTTCCCTGGGTAACCCTGGCTGTCCTGGAGCTTGCTCTGTAGACCAGGCTGGCAGATTTTTCTGTCTTTTAAACTTTATGCTGTCATTTATTTCATTGACTTTTTAAAACTTTATTCTTGATTTTATTTTTTTTTTTGAGACACGGTCTCACTATATATCCTTGGTTGGCCTGGAACTTACTATAGAAACAAATCTGGCCTTGAATTCAGAGATCTGCCTGCCTCCTGAGTGCTGGGACTCAACTTTTGTTCCTAGATTTTGTGCTTTGCTTTTGCCATGTTACTTATTCTACTTATATTTGCTTTTATATAAAATACACATTTAAGAAAGATACATATTTTGGTACTGTTAGTAAATCTCATGAAATTTCATATATATGTCTTATTTCTTGTTACTTTTTTTCCCCATTGGTTGCCTCATTATTACGACTTACATCTTACTTTTCTCTTTCTTGGCTTTTTATCTAGATTAAGTACTTTTGTTTGTTTTGTTTTGGGTTTCCCCCAAGAGCAGTGTCTCACGTAGTGAAGGTTAGTTTGGAACTTTCTCTATACTGAGACAAATTTTGATGCACTGATCTCCCTGCTTTTACTTCTCATGTGCTGGGGTTCAAACAAGCATGTGTCCATCTGTCCAGCTTTAGTCTCAGTGTCCTGCGAGTCCTTCCTGTTACCCATAGAATGGTTGATTCTCTTGCTGCATTGGCTTCCACTTCTCTTTTGCAGTTGTAGACTTTCTGAAGCTCAGGCAATACAATGTTTTCATTCCTCTAACCAAATTCCCTCCTGTGATTTGTTCTTAGCTCTACAACCTTCATCTGCTCAAGTTTCCCAAAAGGTCTCTTGGATGAATGAAGCTCGTTTTCTAGTACAGGGTTAATAGACTGCAGCCTGAGTAAAATCTGGCTTGCAGTGTTTGTGTGGATTTTAAGCTAAGAAAGCCTTCTGTAATTTTAGCTGCTGAAAGCGTGGCTCACAGGTGGTCTGTGCTTCCTTATTGTGTGTTTGAAGGGGAGTTCTAAGGAAAAAGTCTAGATCACATTGCTATCCTCTACCTGAGTTAGTATAGTTTAGGTTTTTTTCCCCTAGGAACACTCAAAGGAAAAAGATTATAGTTGCTGTAGAAAATTAATGTAAATGAATATACTGTATTAAAATTTCTTAATTATTGTGTATCATTATATTGATTTTAAAGGTCTATGTAATAAAAAAGGAAAATTCATATTCAAGCATTCTAGATTATAAAGATTTTTCTTTTACTTTAGTTCTCCATTAGTTCACACTTAATAAAAAATATTATTTTTAAAGTGTGGAGTTATATGTCAAAAACTTACACATTTAGAAGGTCCATTTTTTTTAAATGTAATCTTTTTTTAAATTTATTTATTTATTATGTATAGTGTTCTGTCTGCACGTATCTCTGCAGGCCAGAAGAGGGCACCAGATCTCATTACAGATGGTTGTGAGCCACCATGTGGTTGCTGGGAATTGAACTCAGGACCTTTGGAAAAGCAAGCAGTGCTCTTAACCTCTGAGCCATCTCTCCAGCCCTAGAAGGTCCATTTTTGTTATGCTGAAATATTCAGGTAGTTGGTATTTCTTAGGTAATTAACTAAAGTGATTTTTGCTCTATCCTGATTCTTTTACATTAAAATACAACTAAGATTGAAGTGTTAGTGAATATTTATTATTTGAATCAAACTTCTTACTTTTCATTGCTTTACAATAAAGTTTGGCACCATGGAAAAACTTTTTTTTTTTTTAATGTTTTAGATGCATACTTCTACTGGAGGAGGGTTCTGTGACTGTGGAGACACAGAAGCATGGAAAACTGGCCCCTTTTGTGTGGATCATGAACCTGGAAGAGCAGGCACTACAAAAGAGGTAAGAAGCTTCATTGCTGTTTTCAATTTTCTGAGATTAAATGAATAGGTTAAGATGGATTCCATTTAGAATCCAGTTTTTTTTTCTTTTGTTCTAGAAGTTAATTATAAGAATGTTTTGTTTTTCTACTTTAAATTAAAATTTTCTCCAGAGGGAATGAATTCACATATACCCAAAAATGAATTCAAAATACTTTTTCTTAAATAGTCAATTTGAACAATAAGGATATATAGTGTACAGACCTAAAAGAACAAAAAGAAGTTATTAATAGGTAAGAACAGAATGTAATGAATTTGAAAACAGAATGAACACATGAATTCAGTAATTGCTTTTCTTAAAGGAAAAAAAAAAACTTTGGCCGGGCAGTGGTGGCACACACCTTTAATCCCAACTGGGAGGCAGAGGTAAGAGGATCTCTGTGAGTTCAAGGCCAGTCTGGTCTACAGAGCGAGATCCAGGACAGCCAGAGCTGTAACACAGAGAAACCCTGTCTCGAAAAAACAGAAAAAGAAAAAGAAAAAAACCTTTAGCAAGTTCAGATCTAGACACTTAGATATGAGTTGGGAGAGAACTATAGGACCACAGATACAGATGAGCTATAGGAACCACAAAAGACTGCTCAAGGATTCTCAGCTAATACACCTAAAAAGGAATTGTTGGTTTTTATTTTTATTTTTTTTTTGAGACAGGGTCTCTCTACATAATTCTGGTTGTCCTGGAACTTGCTATGTGGACCAGGCTGGCCTCAAACTCACAGAGCTCCATCTGCCTCTGCCTCCCAAGTATTGGGAACACTACACTCAGCTATAAAAATGAATTGTTTTATCAGACATTGCGAAGTACCATTCAAAAGCCAAGGGAATACTGGGTAGGTAACCATTGAAATACTTGGCAAAATTGCCACAGTGTAGCATTTCCTTTCAAATACCATGTTCATAAGGTTTCATAGACAGATCTTTGAAAGTTTCCAGGATTATATACTTTTTATGCCCTTTGAACTATTCTAGATCTCCATATAAGCTGTGAACACATCTTAGGGCCAGGTGTTGTTTTTTGCTGACTTTTTGTATGAAGACCTCTCTAGGTATTAGAGTTGGATATTGAAGTCTCCCGTTATTATTGTGGATAGACCTATGTGGCCTGTTAAGCCTTTTAACATTTGTTTTATGAAATTGGTAGCCCCAAGATTTGGTGCATAGATATATACAATAGCTACATCCTCTTTTTTTTCTTTTTCGGTTTTTTTAAAGACAGGGTTTCTCTGTGTAGTTTTGGAGCCTGTCCTGGATCTAGCTCTTTAGACCATGCTGGCCTCGAACAGCTATATCCTCTTAATTGTTCCTTTTATTAATATGTAACGATCCCTTCATCTCTTCTGACTACCATTGGTTTGAAGTCTGTTAGATTCAGGAGTTGCTATGGCAGCTTGTTTACAGCTTCCCTCTGTTGGATAGGCTTGTTTCTGACCTTTAACTCCCAGTGTTTGGATGTCTTTGCCAGTTATGTGGATTTCTTGGTGATAGCAGATAGTTGGATCTTATTTTTTTGAATTGAGCTTAGTCTTTAAATTGAAAGGCCAAGGCAGTTTGCATTCAAGGTTATTATTGAGGTTATTGTTCAAGATTTACTATTACTCATGGTTTTGTTGGTTTCTAGTCATTGGGAGTTCATTTCTGGCTCTCCTGATAGTTGTCAGAGGTTTGTTGACTTGCCATGTTGGTGTGACTGGTCCTTCCCAGTTCTCTGTCCTCTCGTGCAATGTCTGCTTCTTGGGTTCTCAGGAGAAAGCTGACCACCCACCGTCTTCTCCGGTGAAGAGCTTACTGAAGTGCCCACCAGTTGGCATGAGTTGCCTTCATGTGTGCTTCTCTTGACTACTCTTACTTCTCTGCCACCTTTGCTGAAAAACTCTTCAAGGGATAGCAGTTTTGGTTGACAGTTTCAGGGCTTGCTATATATCACTCCACACTTCTCCTGGCTTGAGTGCTGCTGAGGAAAGATTAATGTCTTTCTGAGCTTTCTGCCTCTGAATGTGAGTTGGTGTTTTCTTTTACACATATTAGTATCCTTTGTTTTGGTTAAATTTAGATATATATCATGGAGAGGTCCTTCTCTGGTTATACTTAGGAAATTCTTAATTATAATTTTTAAAAATAGATTGTCTAAGCCTTTTTACATAATTTGCCATAACTCCTGCTAGGCCATGGATACTTAGGTTAGGTCTCTTGAATGTATCCAAGACTTCTTACAAGTTTTGGTTATCTTCCTTAGTTTTTTTCTTTATGTATGCCTGTGTGTGCTATTGTCTCGACCTGTGCTCTATCTCTAAAATTTGTCCTTTATCCGTGGTCTTGGTCTGTTGTGACTTTTCTTTATTTGATTCTTTCATTCTCAAAATCACTGATTCTTTCATCTATCTGTATCTTTCTTGTGTGGATCCTAATTGACTTTTTAACCGTTTATGGAAGTCCTCTATATGGTTGCTAACCTTTTTTTAAAAAATAGACTCTGAATTCTCTACACATTTTAGCGCTCTCATTATCTTTGTTCTGGTGTCAGGAGTTGTGAGTTTGTGGCAGTGTGGTGTAATGCTCTTTTTGTGTCGTTTCTTGTGCTTTGTGCATGCACTGGGAGGTGAGAGGCCTCCAGTTTTTCTTCCCCCTTTTCCCACTGTCTCGTTGATTTGTTTTGTTTTATGTGAGCCCTCCTGGTGCTTTGTCTTTAGGTGTGCTGAGGGAAAGTCAGCTGAAGGAATGGCTTGGCAACTGTGTGAGCTGCAGGAACCACTTGTGGCTTCACCTTCGTCCCCAGTACGGCTTGGAGACAGGAGCACTAAGGTGCTGGTTGGAGAAACACACTACAGAGTTGTTTTTTAGTTTTGGGGCTAAGGGTATCAGTAAGTCAGGAAGTGAGGAGGGAATAGGGGAAAGGTGAGAGGAGAGGAAGTAAGAATAACAAGGTATATGGGCGAGAGGGATGAGAAGCAATGAGGACTGTGCATTAGGTTTAGAGAAAATCGTCTGTTACTGACTGTGCACATATCTGCAAATGTACTGAAAGCCTTTCTCCATCTGCTGTTTTCTTCTGTATTTGTTTGTTTGTTACAAGCTCCAACTGTGTACCTAAGCTGGTCTGCAACTTGCTAAGTAGCCTAGGATGGCCCCAACTCTACTGATTATCCTGCCTCAGCCTACCAAGTGTTGGGCTTGCGGGAGTGCACCATTTAATGGTTGTCTGTTTACCACCTGAAACCCACGTGCTTTCCCCTCTTCACTAGGGCAAAGGTCTCAATTCCGTGAGAATGTTGTAACTGAGGGAACATGCCAGGCAACAGGGAAATTATTTACTAGAGTATGAAGTACTTTTTAGCAAGTGTACCCCTTAAAATGATGCCCCCACCTATGCAACCGTTGATTGTCAGCTGTGAGTCCGGACTGTGTGGGACCTCAGGTGCCCCTCTCCCACAATGAACTGTTGAGAAACCCAGTCTTGTGTATATCACCACAGCTGCTATGAGTTCATGAGGCAGTGGCCATGTCACATCCTGGGACAGCTTTTTACCACGCCCTATTCTTGCCACACACAGCATCTTATTCTCTTGCTTTTACATTTTTGCTCCCCCTTTCTTCAACAATGTTCTCTGAGCCTTGGAGGGTGTCATACCAATGTCTCATTTAGGCTTGAAGACTCCATCACCAATCATTTCCTGTTGGTACTTTGAGCATTATGAGTCTCTGTATTACTCCCTCCTACAGCTATAAGACACTTCTTTGAGGAGGAGAGAGAACACTAATATATGTATAAACATAAATATTAGTAGATAGTTTAATATTTTTTGTTATTTTGTGAGACAGGGTCTCACTCTGTAGCCAGTGTTGGCATTGAGCTCATGGCAACCCTCCTGGCTCAACCTCCCAAATGCTGAGATTATAAGCATGAACCATCATGTACAGCTCAAATTGTAGACTTAAGTGAGTAAATCGTAGTGGTTTCTGCTTATGTCACAATAAAGTTGTTATTAGCAGCTCACTTATGAAAGTCTGAGTTAAAATAATTAATCTGGACATCATAAAACCTTCCAAGTAACTTCTAGTTTATAACAACAAATAATACTACCAGGAAAAACATGGAATATAGGTTTTTGGTTTTGTTTGTTTGTTTGTTTTGTGTTTTAACAGAAAAACTGGTCTTCTTCATGAAGAACAAAAGATGGGGGCTAAGGATGGGAGATTGAGTTAGATGTAATGTCCGGCACTTGAGAATCATGACAACCAAATGCAGTGCGTAGATCTTGGTCTCAGCAAGCGTTTATAGAAGACAAGAGGAATGGAGCTGGTGAGATGGCTCAGGGCTTGAGAGCAAGCACTGCTCTGCAGAAGACTTGAGTTCAGTTCCTAGCACCTGCGTCAGGCACTTCCAAGGGGATCCAACACGACTGACTGTAGCACAAATCTTAAAAGGTCTTATTAATAAAAAACAAACCCGGAGTCAGATATTGGGATGAACGCTGAAAGATCAGAGAAACAGAACGATCCACAGCTAACCTCACCTCACCAACTTGTCAGCCGATCCTATTTCCTCAGACTGAAAGCCTCTGATTCCTCATCCGAATGGATCTCAGCTGAACTGCTGCTAAAAGCTAAAAGCTTAAAAAGGCTCTAGTTCCTGGTCCTCATGCTTTATATACCTTTCTGTTTCCTGCCATCACTTCCTGGGATTAAAGGTGTGTGTCACCATGCCTGGTTGTTTCCAGTGTGGCTTTGAACTCACAGAGATCCAGATGGATCTCTGCCTTCAGAATGCTAGGATTAAAGGTGTAAGCTACCACTGCCCAAACCTATGTTTAATATAGTGGCTGTTCTGTTCTCTGACCCCCAGATAAGTTTATTGGGGTGCACAATATATCAACCACAACTGACCTGTGCAGATGGACGGGGACACACACACACACACACACACACACACACACACAAATAATAAATAGGAGGCTGGAGAGATGGCTCAGCTGTTAAGGGCATTTACTGCTCTTGCAGAGGACCTAGCACTCAAATGTACCCTCCCCCTTTCAGGGGATCTGACATCCTCTTCTGGCCTCCAAGGGCACACTTGTTGTACACTCTCACAGTAAAAACAAATAATAAATCATTTTTTCTAGTCTTTCAAGACAAAGTTTGTCTGTGTAGCCCTGGCTGTACTTGAACTCTCTCTGTAAATCAGGCTGACCTGAAACTCAGAGATTCACCTGCCTTTGCCTCAGGAGTGCTGGGATTAAAGGAGTTCATCACCACTGCCTGGCTAATAAATCTTTTATAAAAGAAAATAAAAAGTAAATTCCTTTTAAAAGATAGGAGGAATGATTTGGAAAATTGAATGTTATGTTAGATGATATTTAGTCATAGTGTTTTTAGATGAAATAATGGTGTTATGATATTCTTTCTCATTAAAAGATACATATCAATGGGACTGACCTAGACCCTCTATGTTTGGGTGACAGTTATATGGCTTGGTGTGTTTGTGGGGCTCCTAGCAGTGGGATCAGAACCTGTCCCTGGCTTTTGGGACCCTACTCCTCATACTGAATCACCTTGCCCATACCTAATACATAGAAGGTTCTTAGTCTTATTACAACTTGATATGCCATGTTTTATTGATACTCAGAAGACCTGCTCTTTCCTGGATGGAAGAGGAGGGGATGGGGGAATGGGGGTGTGGAGAAGGGGAGGGAGGGGAGGATGGAGCAAAGTAAAATTTTTGCTGATGTAAGATGTAAAAAAAGGGGCTGGAGAGATGGCTGAGAGATTAAGAGCACTGACTGCTCTTCCAGAGGTCCTGAGTTCAATTCCCAGCACCCACATAGTGGCTCACAACCACCTATAATGAGGTCTGTTGTCATCTTCTGGCCTGCAGGGACACATGCAAGCAGAACACTGTATACATAATAAATAAATAAATAAATAAATAAATAAATAAATAAATAAATAAATAAATAGATCTTTAAAAAAATTGTAAAAAAAGAAACCACTGAATCGATTAACACTAAAGAAGTAAGAACTTATAAATTATTCCAGAGTATGGGTGAAAGGAAGGGGAGCTTTGCACATTTGTTCTAGGAAGCCAGAAAACACTGATGTCAGATCTAACAAGATAGAGACCTTTTAGATCAGTCTTATTAATAGTTTTATGCTGAAACCCTAATATACCATTAGCAGGTGAACTCATGCATGTTAGGCTACAATACAGCCATCCTTTTGTTATTATTATTCATCCATTTATTTTATATCCCAGTTATAGCTTCCCACCAGCCTCCCCTCCTTCTCTTTTCCCCCTCCCCATTCCCCCATCCCCTCCTCTTCCATCCAGGAAAGGGCAGGTCTTCTGAGTATCAATAAAACATGGCATATCAAGTTGCAATAAGACTAAGAACCTTTTATGTGTTAAGTTTGGGCAAGGTGATTCAGTATGAGGAGTAGGGTCCCAAAAGCCAGTAAAAGAGTTGGAGACAGTCCCTGTACCCACTGTTAGGAGTCCTATAAGAGGACCAAGCTACAAAACTGTAAACTATATGCATAGTGCCTAGGTCAGTCCCATGCAGGCAGGCTCCCTGGTTGTCCATTCAATCTTTGTGAGCCCTGTGAGCTCAGGTTAGTTGATTAAGTAAGCCTTCCCATGGTGTTCTTTTTTTTTTTCCCAGAGCTGAGGACCGAACTCAGGGCCTTGCGCTTGCTAGGCAAGTGCCTCTACCACTGAGCTAAATCCCCCCCCCCCCATGGTGTTCTTGACCCCTCTAGTTCCTACACTCCTTTCTCCTCCTCCTCAGGATTCCTGAATTCCACCTAATGTTTGGCCGTGGGTCTTGGTTGGCATCTGCCTCCATCAGTTGCTGGATGACGCCTCTTTGATGACAGTTGGGCCAGGCACCAATCTGATCACAGGAGACGGATGACCAGTTCAGGCTATTTATCCACTATTGCTAGGAGTCTAAGCTGGGGTCCTCTCCGTAGACTCCTGGAAGATATCCTTGTGCCAGTTTTCCGTCTGACCCGGAAATGTCTCCCCTAACAGTACCCCTCAGCACTCCCCACCCCCACCACTTATGTTACCATCCCTACCCACCCTTAATCCACTCACAAAATACCTTCTGTTTCCTCTTTCCAGGGGTTCTGGGTGTCCCCCCATGGACCCTCCTTGTTACCTAGTTTCTCTCTCTGGGTCTGCAACATAACCATTCTTAAATTGCTGAAGAAACCCCTTCTTGGAACTCACCTGTGAAGGTGCTTGTGTCTTAGCACATTTGGAGAATGTTCTCTTGGAAAGCATCTTCAATTTCTTTCAGGGATATTGGCCTCAAATCAGAAGCCATGCAAATCACATTTCATATCGGAGCATCAGTATTTCAGAAATAAGATAAGAGAGTCCATTGTTGCTCCTATTGACCCTGTTCTGGAAGAACTCCCAATCAGATCAAAACTAGACTGAGCTAAGATATAAATATTGCAAAGGACAAGGTGAAGCAGTTATGATTGTAAGTTGGAAAAAAAAAACCTCAAGAAAATTAACCAATAAGGAGGCTAGGCGGTGGTGGTGTACGCCTTTAATCCCAGCACTGGGGAGGCAGAAGCAGGCGAATCTCTGTGGGTTGAGGCCAGCCTGGTCTACAGAGTGAGATCCAGGACAGACACCAAAACTACACAGCAAAACCCTGTCTCGAAAACAAAAACAAACAAACAAAAAAGAAAATTAACCAAAAAGGAATGAGAAAGTACAGAAGATTTTTAGGTTTTGTTTGTTTGTTTGTATGCTTGTTGTTCTTTGAGACTGTTTGGTCTGGGATTGCAGCTGTCTACTACCATGTACATTGAAATAAACAAGCTACAACAAAATGCCTGCTTTTCTATTTAAAATGTTTGACAAATATTTTTTAATGGCCATATAAGCAATACCTTTTAGGAAATGTAATAGAAAAAGATGTTCTATTCATTATGATAGAAAACAATAAAATTTGTAGGTAGGAGGAGAAGGGAAAATGCTAGATTTAGTCATTCATTTGTTTGTTTATTTGTTTATGAGACAGGGCCTCTCTGTGGCCTGCCTGGCCTGGAACTTACTATGTAGATCAGGCTGCCCTTGAACTCAGCTTCTGATGCATGGTGGAAGCAGAGGAGTTTCTTTCAACTCTTCACCTGAGAGCATTTTTATGAATGGTTGAAAGAAAATGTGGAGGGCGAAAAACGATGAGCAGGAATTTTGTCTTCTAATGTTGATATTAGTACCATTAACATTATCTCTTTAACAAAGACTTTTGGACACACTATTTACAAAAGGTGACATGTTGAAGAGGGATCAAAACTACCATTGTAAAGCATTGGTGAGAAGTTGTAGTAGGTCATAGTAGGGGTTAAAGAAAAGAGAGTAGCTCAGTGGTTTGGTCAATTTGCCATCTTACCCATACTTTAGAGTATGCTTTAGCTATATTAATTTTATGCACATTGTTAATGTAATAGAATTCAAGCTTTTTCCGCTTTGTCTTACAATACTGAATCTCTGTACCCAGTAAACACTGAGTCTCTCTCTTCCCAGTCTTCAGCAATCAACTTTCTCCTTTCTGCTCCTGCCATTGTCTTACTGTACATACTGGGCAAATCAGAAATCAGTTGTTCTTTGGTGGTTGACTAAGTTGTTATTTCTTTTCTTGTCTTGTCTTGTTTTGTGGTGCTGAGGATCAAACTTTGCTCATGATAGGCAAGAGATTACCACTGAACTTCACCTCCAGCCCCATTTCTTATTCTTTGTCATCAGTACTTGCTGTGACCACTTCCAAAGCAACTATGAGTTGGTTGAAATAAATTATGAGAACAGTTCTTATAAGTTATAAAGGATAGCCAGTTGTTGCATAGTATTCTCATAATGAAGCTAATCATAAAGACAATGAAGAGAATTCACGGGGGAAAATATGAATAAAAGGTACTCCACTGTCTATGAGTTTCTTTCTGTCATCTGTAACTCCAATTTGCTACCAACAGCGTATGAACATAACTTGAATTGATTCCTAGTGGATAGTGTAATGAACTCACTGAATGATTATTTTAAATACTTAACATTATCTTCCTTATCCATTTATTTAGACACAATCTCATTATATTTTTTTGTTGTTGTTTCCTCACAGACCTTGCATTGCCCATTGAATGAAGAGGTAATTGTTCAAGCCAGGAAAATATTCCCTTCAGTGATAAAATACATTGTAGAAATGACCATATGGGAAGAAGAAAAGGAACTGCCTCCTGAACTGCAGATAAGGTGGGAGTGGTCAAAAGCCACAGGCTTTAGTGGTGGTTCTTTAAATTGCCAAAAACAGTGTTGGCTATCCATGATTGTGCTCTTTCCTTCTTTTTTTTTTTTTTTTTTGATTTTTTGAGACAGGGTTTCTCTGTGTAGCTTTGCGCCTTTCCTGGAACTCACTTGGTAGCCCAGGCTGGCCTTGAACTCACAGAGATCCTCCTGGCTCTGCCTCCCAAGTGCTGGGATTAAAGGTGTGCGCTACCACCGTCCGTCTTGGTCTTTCCTTCTTATGCTAGGGTTTGCACATACAAGGCAAATGCTCTGCTGTTGAGTTATAGCCTAAGATGGTGCCTGCCTGCCTGCCTGCCCACCCTCCTTCCCTCCCTCCCTCCCTCTCTCATTCCCTCCCTCCCTCTCTTCTCTCCTTCCTTCTGTCCCTCCCTCACTCCCTCCTTCCTTCTCTCCCTCCCCCTCCCTCCTTCCTTTCTTCCTTCTTTCTTTCCTTCCTTCCTCCCCACTTTATGTTGTAATTTATTATGATTTTGGAATAGATATAGCACAAATAATTTGTAGAACAGTTTTATACACCCAAGGCAAGAGTGGGTGTGGGCTCCTCAACAGGGAGAGACTCACCTAAATTTATTATCACCTTGAGATTATCTCTCGGGAATATTTTCAAAGTATCTTGACTTGAAATACTCTCTTAGACAGTATGCAGGAGTTGAGTCAAAGAAGAGTAAAGACACTTCAAATCTATAAGGAGGAAAAGGTCAACATTTTCAGGGCTCGTTCCATTTCTAAGGTGTGTTCTGTTTATACCTGCTAATGCTAGTGGGTAAGTTGCCCATTTTGATTTTGGCCTGGATCAAGGTCTGGGTTCCCAAAGACCTTTGTGAACAGCAGAACCTCAGAATGAACTTCATTAGCCCTTATATTTAGCTCTTTCCCTGATCGAGACAAGTTTAATGAGAGATGGGAAAATAGCCTTTCCCCTCATGCGTTGGAAATAGTGTGCTAGGATTATTATAGGCATCAAGATTTAACTTGTAGGCACTGCAGAGATGACTCAGAGGTTAAGAGCAGTGGCTGCTCTTCCAGAGGTTCTGAGTTCAATTCCCAGCAACCCCATGGTGGCTCACAACCATCTGTAGTTAGATCTGGTGCCCTCTTCTGGCCTACCTGCATACATGCAGGTAGAATACTTGTATACATAATAAATAAATCTTAAAAAAAAAAAAGATTTAACTTGTATTTAGATAAAAACTCAGCAACTTCAGCCGGGCGGTGGTGGCGCACGCCTTTAATCCCAGCACTCGGGAGGCAGAGGCAGGCGGATCTTTGTGAGTTCGAGGCCAGCCTGGGCTACCAAGTGAGTTCCAGGAAAGGCGCAAAAGCTACACAGAGAAACCCTGTCTCGAAAAAACCAAAAAAAAAAAAAAAAAAAAAAAAAAAAAAACTCAGCAACTTCTAAGAGCTATAAGTCTTGCATTGACACAGTTGCTTTTAATTGAATAGAAAAAGGAGGCAGAGGCAGGTGGATATCTGAATTCAAGGCCAGCCTGCTCTACATAACAAGGTCTAGGTCAGGCAGTTATATGGTAAGCCCTTGTCACAAATAATAAAAGAGGAGTTCTGGATATGAAAACATAGTTCAGGCCTTGTGGGACTATTTCTACTTGTATAGTACTTAGAGTTTCACAGAACTACAGCACAAATCCATATACAGATTTTGTGGAGGGGATTATTTTCATAGGAGTTTATTATATAAGGAGAGATAAATAATTGAGAATTTCAATGAAAAAAATTTAGTGACATAAATGTACTTTTTTACTCAACGTTGGTTCATAAACCTTTCCTGGAACTTACTTGGTAGCCCAGGCTGGCCTTGAACTCACAGAGATCTGCCTGGCTCTGCCTCCTGAGTGCTGGTATTAAAGGCGTGCACCACCACCACCACCACCACCACCACCACCACCACCACCACCACCACCACCACCACCCGGCTCATAAACTTCTTGAGGAAATCAAAGTATTGAAAAAGTTTATCTGTAGGTACTTGAATTTCAAATAGATGATAATAGCAGTTGAAATCTTTAAAGAAATTTTATAGCAGTAAATATAATGTGAGTACCTTCCAGCACAAATAGCAGTGCTTGAATGTGGTTTGTGGGCAGGGAACATTGGACTTGGGGTTCACAGATTTGCCTTCTGGTCCCTCCCACTGCTCACTTGTATTGTCATCATAGACACCCCTTTAGCCCACCTGAACCTCTGTTTCCAAACTGTAAGAGGGGTAAGACAGTCTTCCCCTTAGAGGATCAATAGGATTTTTGAAAGGCATAGTACAGATTTAAAGTTGATGATATATGATCTATAGCCACTGTTTTCATGAGATCCTCACCAAACTCTGGAATGTAGAAATTATTCTCTTCCTAGAGGTAGAAAATGCACTATCCTCTCAGCAAATCTAAGGTCAGTGGCCTATCTGAGATCCTATAGCCAAAGTGGGAGTGCTGGCATTGTATACAAAAACCAAATACAAAACAAAAACCAAACCCACCTTTCCCCTCATAAAACTTAAATACCAGCATCACTTAAAGATTTACTTTTTACTTAGGTGTATGACTTTGTGAGTGTATGTGCTCCATGCGCATGCCCAGTGCCAGCCTTGTGCCCATGGAACCAGGGGGTTTTATAGAAGATTTTAAGTTGTCTCATGTAGGTGGTGGGAACTGAACTTGGGTCCTCTATAAGAGTAGTATTTGTTCTTAGCTGCTGAGCCATCTCTCCAGCTCAGAGCATCAGGTTCAGTATCACTTAAATAGAAGACAAATACAAAAATAAAATCTGATTATCTATCATCGCCTGCTTAAAGGTTCCAGTTTGCCAGTGTGTAAGTCAAGCAAAAGTTAAGAGTGGTATTTAAAGACAAACTGCCGATGAGATGAGACTTTTGAAAGTAGTAGAAAAAACCATCGAGGAAGTAATAATACTTAGTGATTTTGTTTGGTTTTTAGAGACAAAGGATCACAGAGTGTTATCTAGTCTTGTCTCAAGCTGGTGAGCACAAGTAATCTTTGTGCCTTAGCCTCTCAAGTACCTGTATACCAGCATTCCTCGCTGGGAATCTTTTGTAAACTGTAGCACTATACTATTTAAATCATGTCATATCACTATCACAGTGTTATTTCCCTACAGATAGGAAACGTGCATGGTGCTGCTTAAGAATACGTGGCATTTTTTTTTTTGTTTGCTTTACTGTCTGAATATGCATCTTTTTTTTAAATAGGGAGAAAAATGAAAGATACTATTGTGTCCTTTTCAATGATGAACACCATTCATATGACCATGTGATATACAGTCTGCAGAGAGCTCTGGACTGTGAGCTTGCAGAGGCCCAGCTGCATACCACTGCTATAGACAAAGAGGTTCGTGAGCACTGTGTGGACTGTGTTGTGTCTCAATTCTGGCATTCGGGTCTTAACTGCTTTTCTAAAAGGTGATTCATTATAGACTTAAAATGGATAGCTAGCTTCTTCTGGGCATGACGTAACGGTTACACTCTTGAACTCACAGTATCTGGTTACCTGTACAGGATTAGATCTGTCAGTGTAGCATCATGGATAGGGAAGAGAGTGAGCCTCATTCCTCCCTGAGGATTATTGGCAGTTAGTGTTGCTCAGGGAAGGACTATAATTTTTTCCCGTCACTAGTAAGTTGTCCATACTCCAGTAAATAACTCCCTATCCTCGATCTTTCAAGCAGCTATAATTAAACTCAGTGAGTAACCAAATAAAAAGACATAAAAGTAGGAAGGATTTGACACCGGGTGGGGGTGGCAAACACTTTAATCCCAGCATTTGGGAGATAGAGGCAGAGGCAGATGGATCTCTGTGAGTTTGAGGCCAGCCTGGTCTACAGAGCAAGTTCCAGGACAGGCTCCAAAACTACACAGAGAAACCCTGTCTCAAAAAACCAAAAAGAAAATTGGAAGGATTTCTTTGGAAGAAGAGTTTTAGCACGAGAGGGAAGAGGAAGAGAGAAGATAAGGGGGTTTGAAATGACCCAAATTTATTACATATATGAAATTGTCAAATTTTTTAAAATTAAAAAAAATCTGTCTGTGCTTAGGATGTAGCACTTTTTGCCTATGCTAGATAAATGCTCTTTTGTTGAACTACATCTTTAGCCCATGGAGGTATTTTGTTTTGAGACAGAGTTGCTTGTGGCCTTAAACTTGGTATGTAGCTGAGGATGATCTTGAACTCCTGATCCTCCTGATTCCATTTCCTGAGTTCTGGGATTAAGAGGAGTATGCCAGCTTTACTGGACGGACGGACGGGGACACACACGCACACGCACACGTGTACACACACACACACACAC